TTTTCAGGTCCAGATTTGAGGACTACTCCATCCCAAAAGATCCCAATCCCTGGTGAAACACACGCCCCCCTCGTTAGACGAGGCTGCGTTTTTTCCACGTATGCATGCGAGTCGATCTTCTCCGTTATCAACGCAAGAGAAACCGACTGATATCCAAAAACATGTTAAAACTGCCCTCGGATTAAAGCGACAAACATATCTGCAGACACTCCAAAAGTCGTGGTTACGAGGAAACGCCCGTTTTCACTCTCAGACAAAAGGACGCTGCCTTTGTTTCAGCAGGGGGCGCTGTCCGCTGTCCTGCAGGTGTTCGACTTCGCCAATGACGGTTGTTTTCATGAAAATTATACAAATAAAGTTAATTATCAAAACAAGTTCACAGACCAGGTTTCATGTTTGGTGACGACCTCTGAAGCTCTACCACTTTTTTTACTCCCAATACGATACCGATACTGCAGCCTTCAGTATTGGCAGATACATGTATTGATCTAATATTAGCATTAACTTGTTCTTGACAAGTTTTGCCAACATCGCTCCTCCTCCTCTCTACTTTGTTCGTACCTTAGTACACACTGTTGTCGCGATCACATGGGCTCTGCACACCAGATCCGGGCGCTGCGAGATAGAAATGCTGGAGCGGAGTCTGGAATGGACTGCTTGTATCAAAGATTTCAGATGCTGATATAATCTGATTTTCATTTTTTTTGCTGATGAATATCGTAACGGGGCATCCCTATTTCTTTACTGCTGTTACAGGAGATCTTAGATGTTATTTTCAGCTGTTTGCCGGTTCAGAGGAAGTCAGGGATGAAAGCTTTTCTCTGATTGGCTACTGCAAAAGTAAACATCATCATTGATTCTTCTGGTTAAGACGAATTTAATGTCCCTATTATCTGTTTTAATCTCTGAATATTTACTCTGAAGGTGATTTTATCTGGACGTCTGCAGGAACATTTCTGCTGACAAATGAGAGAAGTCTCAAAACGTTTGTTACCGTTATCACCACTTTTACCAGTGCATATTATACACACACACACACACACACACACACACACACACACACACACTCACACTCTTTTCATATGCAGCAGCGCCAACTGTTGCCAGAGACTTACTGCCCCCTGACTCCACCTGTGAGTGTGTGATCATTTACTCGAATGTGGATCTATATGAGGACCCATTATTTACCCACAAAGTGAGGACATTTTAGGGAGTGTTCTCATTTTTCTATTCAAGGGAGGACATTTCTTTGGACCTGTGAATTGGGGAACTTTGAAAAAAAGGGATATTCATTAAAATGTATTAGCAGAAATATTATTACTTTAATATGAGGCCTGCTATTCTGACATTCTTACTGGGAATGCACTTAAATTTCTATCAATGTGAGGACTGTTATTTTTCTTAGTACATTTTCAATGGCGGGAAATGTAAGGAAAAGCGTACTTGTATTGCTATTAATGGGAGGACCACACACTTCAGTTTTTATTCATGCGGGGACCAGCGTTTTTACCTGCCAAGTGAGGACATTCTTGAAAAGTTGGGACTTTTTTCACCTTCTCAAAGTGCTAACAGAGGGTCAAAACTTGGTTCTAAGGTGCAGGACAGACTTGGGTTCTACGCCATGATCTTTTTAACTATTTGTATATATATTTGGAGAGCCTTTCTTTTCCAATCACACGTGTTCTTACTGATCTCAGTGACTCCTCCTGCGGCTCAGGCAGCGGTGAGTGTTTGGAGTAAAAACAGAGGATGTGGTGAAAAGAGGACAGGCGGTTTGCAGCAGGACAAATATAAAGAGAGAGGAGAATCATTTCATCATTCTGGTGTCAATAAGTGGGCGCCGCAGCGTCTTCTTTTCAAAATGATTCACACATCGGCACTTCAGCTGGATTACAACAGAGATAAGGTCAGTGTGGTAAAAATACACCTGTGATGGATCCGCCATCAGCAGGAGTACAGAGAGAGATCTGCGGCTTTAACTCACGTGTGTTTAAAGGGAGCGAGGATCTGCAGCAAACCTTCATTAGGAAAACCACACAGCGTTTTATGCAAGGAGAAATATCATCTGTGTTTCCTGATGATCGCATTGAGATTCTGGATCATGGTCCCCGGCTTCTCCCGGACTCTGCGGCCGCTCTCCAGCGATGATGAAGTGGAGCTGTGATAATTTTGCTGTCAGCGTTATAAACAGGGTCCACCGAGCCTGACCCGTGGCTCAACGCGGCGCCCATGAATCAGCCCTGCCCAGTAAACATTTGGGCAATAAATAACTATAATTAAAAAATACTGGTTATTGCATAAATTAGGTAATCAATTAGGCTGCATTTGGTATTCATGCGCTGCCTGCTCGGCCTGCAGTTTGACTTATTAGACTCTGAGAGGCTCCACTGTGGTTCACTGAGATTGGGAGTTGGTATTTTTCCGGAGTGTGTGAGGGACCGGACGATTCATCAATATTATAGTGTGAATAATTTATCCAACCAGCCAGGACTGCTGACCTTCCTGTGACGGACAGATCCACGTAGGCCTGGGCCATCTGGGAAAAAAAGTGATCATGATATATTCTGTCAAAGTGTCCGATCTCGATTATTATCACGATTTTTTCCTCGAGAGGAAAACTCGAGATTAGTTCAACATTTTATTGACATAAAATTTAAATAACAAAGCAAACTGATAAGATAAACTTAGAAAATATAAAAATCATTTTAACTGAACAGAACAACAAATATTGATGAATACTAAATAAAACAGTGAACTAGTTTACAGTCTGAGTGTTTCTGACCCAAAATAAACGAACCTCCTCCTCAGGGATGATGAAGACGCTTTAAATCGTAAACATTAGAGGATGTTAACGTAGATCAGCGGTTCTCAACTGGTGGGTTCTGACCCATAAGTGGGTCACGGACACGTTCTGGATGGGTCGGGAACAGCTGGTCAAAAAAGTAAATATTTAATTCGTATCTGATGTTTGACATGTCTTTTATTTTGAAAGATAGCACACGTTATGTCGTGGTCCTCCTCAGTTTCTCATTAAAGTGGCGTGACTGCAGGAAAATTACATGTTTTTATTTTGTTTAATTTGATATTTATCCACTTTTGTCCTCCTCAGGTTCTTCTGAATATGATCTGAGATCCAAATAAGTCAGATTTTTCATTTTTCTCGTCTCCATTTTGTGCCGTTTGATATTTTCTGTATATGTATCTTCAGTCGTTGTCGTCTTCAGTTCATGTGCTCTGAAATGCACTTTAATCAGTAAAAACGCTGTATTTTTGTTAAAGATTTGAGTCTTTAATGTTTTTTTGTATTTTTTGTGATCAACTTTTTTTTATTTATTTCTTTTTGCTTTCTCTCATTATTTCCATACCCATTCCCCCCACCCTTGTCCCCGGAGCAACATCAACCCCCCCCCCCCCCCCCCCCCTAAAAAGAGAGAAAAGGGGGGAAAGAAACAACAACAGAAACAAAATTTACAGTACATACATGGTAGCTTATTTAACAAAACAAAAAGGAAAAAGGCGGCCTAAAAACAACAGTTGAACTCTCTCAGCTGCCGCTTCCAGATTCTGTATTGTTTCTGTTTTTGCCTTTTGTGCACGCGCACTGGAGATTTCTAATGACAGGATTTCATAAAATAGTAATTTCCACTGATACACATTCAGTACATGTGGTGGTTTCCATCTCTTTATCAACATCTTTTTAGCAGCCGTTAAATCTGCAAACAGTACTCTTTTCTTATGAATTGCTAATGTTTTTTTTTAAATAAATAAATCTGCTTGGTTTGAATTGTATAAAAATGGGTCGTGACTGAAGGATCATGGGAAAATGTGGGTCCCAGAGTGAGACCAGTTGAGAACCGCTGACATAGATGATACGATTGATTGATTACTTTGGTCTGGTAGCTGTACTGCTAGTTTTAGCTTAAACTGCTAATGCTACTTGTGCCCTCAGCAGTGACAGGTTGTACAGACTCCGCCCACATTTTCATTTTTTCCTCATAACCAATCAGGAAGAACTTCTTTAAATGATTTAACAGATTAAACAGCCGTTTTTTTGAGGCACTGACCACCGACATACCTGAAACATCGGCTTAATCCCTCAGCGTCACTTTGGAGATACCCAAACCACCGCCACACAACCGACGCTGAATAAATTCTCAACAACGGCGTCTTCAGAGGATGACTCAAAGTCACAGCTGACATCTATTTCACTGCGTTCTGCTCCACGTTCGGTTATTCTGTTTACTTCCTGTTTAAAACCTACAGAAGTGAGCAGGAAAAGCTCGACTCTGATTGGCTGTTGTCACACAAATTTCCGCCACGTTTGATCGAGTAAATAATCTCACAGCTGATCACCGCGATCGCACTGACATTCATCACGATCATATAATCGCCTGGTCTTAACTCCGTGGTCATGTGACACGCCCTCTTCCAACATGGAGACTTTTACAGTGTAGCAGCGACTGAAACAGGAGTGTGTGTGTGTGTGTGTGTGTGTGTGTGGGAGCTGGGGGGCTGTTTACTTTAGCCAAACTGAGGAGCAGGGGGTTCTGGGTACGAACACGGGGTGTCACGGCGTGCTGCCAAACAGCGTAAATGCATAAGTCATGTACCGTCATTAAACATGTACGCTCGTAGGCGGGTGGCGGCGCGGCTCTGGAGGAACGGCGGATCGTGTCTACGGCAGAGGAAGTGATCTGACTCCCAGCAGGACTCGAGATGAGGAGGAGGAGGAGGAGGAGGAGGAGGAGGAGGAGGAGATGGATTTCTTAAAGGCAGGAGGAGGAACACGGAGAGACCCCACAGGAGGAGTCGTGTCACTGAACTCCTGCTGCTGCCGCCACCGCCGCCACCGTCATCGTCGAGGGAAACCTGAAGGAGAAGACCCGCGGACTCTGTGACCTCTGACCTCCTTTTGGAAGAAACAGCTCCGCCTGCCACTTTGGATTGAAAACCTCCCCTCTCTCCTCCCCTGTCTCTCCGGAGCGCCGTCCTGAATCTTGATGCAGCTGCCGGCGCAGAAGCCCGTCCGTCTGCAGCAGTTTGACTCTCAGTGTCTGCAGCTGATTGGTTCTGACAGGCCGCCCGACAAAGATCCGCTGAAACCTCTCCAAACCAATCAGGAGCGGGAAACTCATCGAGAGCGTTTAAGAAACTGCAGAGTCGTGTTTTTATTTCATCTTCAGGATCATCTCAGTGTTCACACTCTGACCCTGACGGACGTCTCCAACCCCGATAACCATCGCATGTACCCTCCCCGTGGCCTGATGGCGAAGAGTGAAGAGCGTGAGAGCAGCGGCGGCGGCGTTGCGGTTCATGCTGATGAGCCGGTTCTAATGAGATATCAGCCTCCTCTGGCTTTAGCCTCGGGACGAATTCTCCGAAGGTTAAAAAAGCGGTTTCTCACATTTTCATTAATCCTGAAACACAAATTACAGTTTGTTAATTTGCATCAAGGCCTAACGCTGGTTTCTGCGGCGCTCTAATTACGGCGTGTGTTTATGTTTTTCTTCCTGTAGTACACGTGTTTGTCTCCGTCTTTAGATGAGTGTAAAGAAACCTCCCCATCCTGGACCCGAGTCACGCTCCTCTTCTGTCTGATGTGTCGGTGTTTTCTGCCGCAGACACTCTGATCCGCTCGCCTCTCTCCTGGAAAGCTCTCCGCTCGTCATTAGCCGAGCGTTGGATCTGCTGATCGTCCGTTTTCGCTAATGGGCTGGCGGTGACTTCAGACCCGGACGACCACCTCGTTTCAAAGAAGAGCCACGCGGTGATAAAGGAGTCGTGCCATCTTTTTACTTTTGATCGCCGAGTGCTGATTGCTGGAGTCGGCGCCCGCTCCGCTTTGCCAGTTTGACTGCGAACCAACGCGGTCCGGTTTCAAATGTGACCACAAACGAGGCGAACTGGAGCCGAGTCAAAAAGAAGAAGAAGGAGAGAGAGGGAGCTGAAGAGAGGAGGCTGAAGAGAGGGAGCGAGCGTTTTCTGTTGGCGGGCGGATCTGGCCGACACGGTCCTGCGTCAGCATCAGAAAACAGGTAGTGGGAGCTCGGGATGAGAGAAAAACGGCGAGCGTTTGGTTTTAATTTGGCTGATCTGACATGTTTGATGAATGAAGAGACAAAGCTGCTCAATAAAACCAAAAGAGACGACGGCGGCGGCGGCGGCGGTGTGTGCGCGCCAGCGTCACTTTGCCTTCTGTTCTCCTCAGAGGACCGAGTGACACCAATTAACTCCCAAACAGTGGTAATCAGGGGACCTGTAAGATACCACACAAATTAAATTAAACCGTCCCTAACCATATGCCAATATGTGTCGTCTTCAAAGCCGGTTTTCAGTCCGGCTCAGCGGCACGCGTGTGATGAAACAAAACGCAGAGAAATAAATCAATAAGAGGCGCACAACAGAGGAGAAAAACATCATCTTCAGTTGTTTCATCTCAAACGAAGCCTCAGGGAGTCATTTTCACGTTTCAAACAGCAGACTGCTGCCAGCGCCTCGACTGATTGACAAGTTTTTTAATACGAGGGAACGTCGAATTAAATCCTGATTCAAGCTGAGAGGAGTCAGAGCGAGGCCCCGCCTGACCGCCGCGTTTAAAGACGGGAGGAGGAGGAGTCCTGCGGTCTGTCATCACTCTGACGACAGTGAAAGGTCAAAGGGCAGAGCAGGATCGTAATGCTCGGCACGCCCACATACCAGCAGACTGGAGAGTCCAGCCAATCAGAGGAGGTCGAAGGTTAAAGCTCTTATTGTCTACATGGATGGACCAGATCAGAGCGTCACCTCTGAGATTTACAGACACAACTGAACACTTCAAACTTCCTCTTTTACTGCAATTCAAGTACAAGAGTTTGATTTGTGGTATCGGTGGATTTAATCCAATCACAGTTTATTTATGAAGCACATTTAAAAACAACAAAACGCTGATTAAACTGCTGCACGGTAGAAATTAAGAACAATAAAAACAGAAACAAGACACAGGAACATGTTAAAAACAGGAGGACGGAGATGGTTCAGTAAAAACACGTTTAAAAGGCCGAGTTCTCAGGAGTTAAAGTGCGTGTTCAAACTTCAGACAGTCGGACATAAAGAGGAAGAGCGTTCAGAGCGCAGAGATGGAAAAAGACCGGTCACCCCTGAACTTTAATCTTGACCCACGGACAGTCAGAAGGTTGAGAGTCCGCGATGAAATAAAGGGTTTAAAACACACAAGAAGCCAGTGAAGAGAGGCTAAAATCAATCAATCAATCAACTTTATTTCTATAGCACATTTAAAATAACCACAAGGGTAGCCAAAGTGCCGTACAATGATACATAAAAACAAATAACAAAAAGAACAAGATAAAGCGAGCAGAAATACATTAATGCAAGGGGATAAAGAAGTAAATAAATAAGCAGGCTCACGGCAGGTGCTAAAATCGGGGAAATGTGGTCATATTTACGACAGCTAGATAAAACATGAGCTGCAGCATTTTGAAGGAGCTGTAAACGATGAAGAGAAGTTTGACTGACACCAAAATAAAGAGCACTACAATAATCAAGACGAGTTTTGATAAAAGCAAAAGACTTAACTTTGTTTAAAAGACGAAGATGATAAAAAACTGACTTTATCTGTAGATCCATTTTCAAACCTCCGTCCATCATAACCTCCAGATTTTCTTAGAGAGTCTTTGAAGAAGGACTCAAAGGTGGACAGATCTGCTCTGGGGTCCAAAGACGATCACTTCAGTCTTACTCTCGTTTAATTTCAGAAAACGGAGAGCCGTCCAGGTTTTAATGTCCCTCAGACTGTCCGACATCATCATTTAACAGACAGGATCCAGAGATCTGATCCACAAGACTCCTCGAGGTTCATCCACGTGGTTTTGGTTTAATCTAAACTTAAGATTAAAGAAATGATGAGTGATTAAAAAAAACAGGATCATGATGACAGTAAATAACTGTGAATTTCATTTAACCTTCATCATTAATACACGAACAGGCATCAGAGTTAAATTCAGATCTGGTGTAAATCGACACAGAAGAAGGTTTTAATCTTGAGGGTCCTGTTATGGGGGCAAACCTCTTAAACTGGGACCATCTCTGAGCTGTGAGAGTCAAAGTTCCTCCTCCGAGCTCAGATCCGGTCCTGGTCTTCCTGTCTGTTTAATGTTCTCGGGAAAAACCTGAATCTTGATAAAATCAGTGAAAACACAGACGCGGTCTCTGAGACGCCACCCTCTGGTCTGTGAGGTGGATGTCTGAGGACTGATAACAGAAGCTGTCATGTTGGAGATGAGTATGAACAGAGGAATTCACTGTTGTGACTAAAACCATCAGTACAAATGTGGATTTCTGTGGAGATCAGGACCATCTCCACAGACGTGCCGCTCGCTCCAAACCCGGAGAAATCCCCCCACAGATCATAAACAAAGACTGACCATTTTCCACCCAGAGGCGGTGAGAACAGATCGCTCCAGCGTTGAAAAACCTGCAGAGTCGTACAATTATCGAGAACGACAGGCGTGAGAACGAGTCGGCGAGTCAGCAAGTTTCCTTTGTGAGTTTTCTCCGTAACGAGAGTGAGAAGCCGTCAAAACTCAGGAAGTGTTGATTAACTTTGTGAGGATTAAAAAATAATCATAAATCATCTTTGAAATGAGCAGCTCTGCTCCAGAACTTTTCAGGTTTGTCCTTAAAGTATGAAGACTCTCTGCTCTACACTGGAGTTAAAGTGTGAATTTATAACATGATGAGAGACCGAGATGAGAGTTTTTAACACTTGGAAACAGACGGATGTGCAGACATCGTCTCTGTTCTTGGAAGTGCGTATCTTTCTTTAATATTGAAGGTTTTTATCCACAGTGAGTCTCTTCTCTGACCCAGTCCAGGTCTGATCATCCTGCCTCCATTCTCACATCAGCTAAACACAACATTTACAGGCAGAAAAAAAACAGGTAAAGTCAGGATGAAATATGTTCGTGCAGCTGTGTTACATCTGAACGACCACAAGGAAACAGCTGATCCTCAAGAAATCATGGAGGAACACGCCAAGAACACTGGAGAAGAAGGTAAACGATGGAGGTGATTCTCCCCTCATGGAGTTAAAGGTGTTGTAGTCAGGATCTGAGGAAGTTCCAGTTTTTAGGAGAAATCTTGAATGTAAACTCTACCCCTCCCAACCAGTTTTCCCCTCAGATCCTCCTCTCCCATCAAGCCCCGCCCACAAACAGACGCTCCTGCTCGCTCGTATCGTTCCGATTAAATTCAGATATAATGCAGATAAATACTTCAGATCATTACAAATGGGGCCCAGTCAAGGTGAAAGTCAAAAGCATTGGTGCTACTGTAGATGCCAACAGACTACCAGCAAACACAATGTTTGCAGGACTTCTACAACGAGGATAAAGTGACATAGTCCAGGACCCGAGGGAGGACAGTTTAGCGATGGCGCTACAACACGCTACAGCAGGTCCGTTTGACAAGAAACACTTCTGTTACAGACACTTGTCTTACTTTGTTAAAGCGGTTTACCTGTCCAGCAGAAAGGTTACAGGGTCACCAAGATCCCCAAGCGTCCCCCATCGTTTATGTTGACCCGGCTTTTTAGCTCTTGTCCGGTCTACCTCCGTTTTAAGCGCCCGTTATTCCTCCAGAGTCTCCGGTATTTACTTTGTTTTCTTGCTTGTGTCGGCAGTCGTGGCCAAAGGAGGATTCAGACAATTTTCCGAACTTTCTGGTTGGTTTCTACTGTCCGATATTGTAGCACGCTAACTTTGTTTGGGCTCCTGAACGACACGGGGGAGCAGCGTCTGCCTCACAACCAATCAGGTTAGAGGAGGTGGAGAACGGCTTTGTTTACAGTCAGAAAGAGCAGACCGCTCAAAAATGTTCAAATGTTGACGACACAGACATAAGAGAACACAGAGATATCGATATATTACCAAATGTCATCAATAACTAATAACTATTGACTGATATTAGAAGATTTTTTGTATAAAAACCACAAAATAAAAAGATGTTTCTTTAACAGATTCCTGTCTACTTCACCTTTAAGTCGGTTTTCTTCTTGTGGACCAGACTTCTTTCCTTAGACTAGAGATCAGCTGGACTCTCTCATATGAAAACTGACCCTCCCTCTCTCTCTCTCTCTCTCTCTCTCTCTCTCTCTCAGGGTGAGTTCATGTTGATCTGATCCTGATCCATCAGTCTGTATAAAACCATAATCGGCTCATAAACCTGAACTCTGGTTCGTCTCTCACATGCTGTCCTCCATCATGAACTCGTGACTCCATGAACTTGGACTGTGAACTTACTGTCGTTATCTCCTCTGGTGTTTACAGCCAGCTGTGGGCGTGTCTACCAACGTCTGCACCACACAGATGAAGCAGCGCCGCTTTTATCGGAATAATAAATCTGAAAGTCGGAATCATAACGAACTTTTTATTGGACTCACAAATCAGGACACAGATCAGAGTTTCCTGATCCTGGACCAGGACCCTGGAGTTCTGAGTTGATGTGGACTTAAAACTTTACAAAATGTGAAACAACTTTAAACACGTTTAAAATCCAGATTAACTCTAAAGAGTCAGGGATTAACGGGATTAAAGTCGTTTTTACATGAAGTTTGTCTTTAAATCCAAATCTCTCTCTGTCTGTATCTCTCAGTTTGGACTGACAGAAGTGAGAGACGTGAGTTTGACCACAGAAATAAGTCTCATTTCTCTTTGATGGTCAAAAATAAACTCTGACGGAGCGGTAACATGACATCCAGCAGAAACAGACACAATAAAGACAAACAGACGAGGTGATTTCAGTGACTCAGTTTGAGGATTTTTATGATTTTTTTACCCACAATCAGAGACTTGACCACAATCTGAGCTGAGTCAGAAACATCCAAACAGTCGGACTAATAAATGTGATTATTATTATTAGAGTGATTGAAAAGCTCATAACAACATGTAGATCTGTCCAAAGTCTGATTCTAGATGTCTTTACAAACACACTGATCCAACAGAAGCAGACAGAAATATCCATCGATCACATGAACACAAATATTCAGCAAACAGAGAAAGAAACAGATCATCTGAAGAGTTTTTGGGGACGACTGGAAAGACTTTAGACGCTTGGATTTGGGACAGGAAATAAGGTCGTCCTTTTTCTGTGTGTTGTGCTGCTTGAATGCGTCTTACTGAAGTGTTTTTGCGCTCTAGTGTGAGTTGTTTACATCACGTTGCCATGGCAACACGTAGCCGGCGAGTTACCGAGAAACAGGAAGTTATTGAGCGCAGATTTGCGAGGTCCGTCAGCTGTTCAGTTCTAAGCTCCTCTCCTTTCCTCCGTTTTCATCCCTCTAGTCCATGCAACGTCTGTAAGTGTTCATACGTTGTTGTATTAAGATGAAGGTTGTTTAAGTGTAATTAAGTTGTTAAAACGGCTATGGCGCTAATCGCTAATGCTACACGTAGTTAGCTTCATGTTTTTCGTTGCTAGCGGCACTCTAACTCGTTTGTGATTATAACGGCTAAAGCTAATGTAGCTTAGCTCTACTGTCTGTGTGTAAGCCGTAACTCATTGTTTTATATGTTACTGTATCATTTCAGTTTCACAAGATTCCTCAGTAAACTTGAAGAGGTGAATCAACTGCGTCTGAGAGTTTATTGGGGAGTGTTTATACTGCTTGGAAGTAGCCCATGACACTGTGATTTTGACCTCACTTTTTTCTAAAGTCTCAGACCTTCAACATCTGCACCAACTGAAGGTGATTTGAACAAACCATCATCTTGATGTTGTTGATATCAAACTTGATGAAGATTTTTCAACATGAGAAATACAAACAATCAAAGTTCTCCACAATCACTGTCCTTAAAGCTGCGACCAAATCAGCATCTTTAGAAAAGAATCAAAAAGCTGAAATGAAGAACTAAACCCAGAGTTTTTGGTGAGACTGATCCACAAACATTTACAAACCAGAACATTTCAAGAGTTCAAGGATCTCAGTCCATGATTTTGGTCTGATGGACTCAAAATTCTCTTTAGTTCACTTCTATAAACTCAGCAGAGGCTCCATCAGACCAGCCTAACCACAGTCCAGCATGTAGAGGTTCAGTGAATGTGGTCTGGACTCTGTGGAGGAGAGTCATGGTTTCAGAGACGCTGTAGAAGGACAGAATACCTGCTCTGTGATCCAGGTACACTCCTACTCTGGAGGACGGAGGAACTGAGACAACAGTGACGACTTTGTTGTGCACAAATTGATAACTGTATTTAGAACAGACTAACCTCCAAGATTTGTCATTGTTTCCAAATAAACAATCATCTGATCTCCCTGCTCTCCTGATAGTCTTGTATGCGACTGCTACATCAACCCCGCCCCCTCTCCAGTCCACCTCCCAGTAACAACGTCCAGTCAGACTCTCTCTACTCAGGACCTGATCCCAAAAAGTGAATCTGTCTGGATGTTTAGGATAAGACTGTTGTTGTTCCGTCTTTGTTACTCTTCTGTTTCCATCAGATAATAACAGTCGTCTGTTTGCTGTGTTTGGATCCAGTGTGATTCTTCTTGAATATCTTAAGAAACCAGCTCTGGTCTTGGGTTCTGCTGGTCCTGGTGGTTCTGACAGTAAAACATCCACTTCAGTCACTGCCTGTGAGACGTTTGCCCACGTCTCTGTCAGAAGATCCTGGAGTTTCTCTCTGACCTCTGACACAGCTGCTGTCACCTCCTCAAAGTATCTCAGAGGACGGATGTTGATCCTGGATGAGTCTGCAGGTTGACCCGGTTCTGACAGTGAGGGGTAGCTGTGCAGAAACTGGTTGTGGTCCTCTGTGAGTGAGAGCTTCTGCAGATCAGCGTCTTTCCTCTTCAGCTCAGTGATCTCCTGCTCCAGTTTCTCCTGAAGCTCTTTGACTCGACTCACTTCACGTTCCTGCTGGGATCTGACCTGCTGCTCCACCTCAGAGCTGCGTTTCTCCATCAGACGGATCAGCTGGCTGAAGATCTCCTGGCTGTGGTCCACAGCTTTATCAGCAGAGCCGTTGATAGTCTCCACCTCCTGTTGGAGCAGCTTCACATCTTCTTCTCTGTCCTGGATTCTCTGCTGGATGTTTCCTCGACTCTCCTCCAGATCTTTCTGCCTCTCAGTCCTTTCTGCTGCAGCTGAGACTGTGTCGTGGCCTTTGTGTTGGTCCAAACGGCAGAGAGAACAGATGGACTTCTGATCAGTGCGGCAGAAGATCTTCATCACCTCATCATGACGAGAGCAGATGTTCTCCTGGAGCTTCTTGGAGGGCTCCACCAGCTTGTGTTTCTTAAATGTAGGAGATTCAAAATGAGGCTGGAGGTGAACCAGGCAGTAAGAAGCCAAACAGACCAGACAGGACTTGACAGCTTTCAGTTTTCTCCCACTGCAGACGTCACAGGCCACATCTTCAGGTCCAGCCTCAGAGGAACCATCAGGAGCAGCTTGGAGTCCGCTCTTCTTCACTTCCTCCACTAAACCTGCTAACATGGTGTTTTTCTTCAGGACAGGCCTCGGTCTGAAAGTCTCTCTGCACTGAGGACAGCTGTAGATCTTCTTCTCAACCTCTTTATCCCAGTAGGATTGAATACAGCTCATGCAGAAGCTGTGTCCACAGGAAACAGTCACCGGATCCTTCAGAAGATCCAAACAGATGGAACAAGAGAAAGACTCACGGTCCAGATGAACTCCTTTCTGCGCCATTTCAACACTCACTGTCGACGACGACTGACTGAGTTTTATTTCCCGGTCTGAGCTCTGATCTAAAGTCAGCTCAGTTTATGTTGGTTACACCCATCTTCAGACTTTGGACCTGATCAGATCTGGGAGGGGTTATCAAGATTTTCATAATCCAGGAAGAGGAGTGTCTCTGTGAACTTTAGACTCTCAAACTCCAACAAGCAGAAGTTCTTAAAGCTGCAGCCGTCCTGAAGATCAACTGAACCAACATTTATTCACCTCATAGAAACCTCATCGAGCAGAAACACACTTCAACTGTTTTAGAGCCACAGAGTTAAAGAGACAACACAGAGAAACTCTCTCTCTCTCGCTCTCTCTCTCTCTCTCTGTCTCTCTCTCTCTCTCTCTCTGTCTCTCTCTCTCTCTCTCTCTCTGTCTCTCTGTCTCTCTGTCTGTCTCTCTCTCTCTCTCTCTGTCTCTCTCTCTCTCTCTCTCTCTGTCTCTCTCTCTGTCTCTGTCTCTCTCTCTGTCTCTCTCTCTCTCTCTCTCTCTGTCTCTCTCTCTGTCTCTGTCTCTCTCTCTGTCTCTCTCTCTCTCTCTCTCTCTCTCTCTCTCTGTCTCTCTCTCTCTCTCTCTCTCTCTCTCTCTGTCTCTCTCTCTCTCTCTCTCTCTCTCTCTCTGTCTCTCTCTCTCTCTCTCTCTGTCTCTCTCTCTCTCTCTCTCTCTCTCTCTCTCTCTCTCTCTGTCTCTCTCTCTGTCTCTCTCTCTCTCTCTCTCTCTCTCTCTGTCTCTCTCTCTGTCTCTCTCTCTCTCTCTCTCTCTCTCTGTCTCTCTCTCTGTCTCTCTCTCTCTCTCTCTCTCTCTCTCTCTCTCTCTCTCTCTCTCTCTCTCTCTCTGTCTCTCTCTCTCTCTCTCTGGTTTGCTCATGTCGTTTATTCTCTGTTTTCTCTTCTCATCATTCTTTCTCTAATCTGTGTCTCCTCTTTCTCTGATGTCCACTAAGGTGATCTTCTCCAGTGTTCCCAGCTGAGCCGTGGTCTCTCCCAGATGTCAGGTCTAGATGATCCTAAATAAGAGGAATGAGGATCTTAATCTGGTCTAATCTGAGGGTTGATGACTTTGACTGTCATTGATGTCACCTCTGAAAACCGAAAATATCTGCACTGTAACCCCGACCTCCACCTTCATCCTGATCGTCTCCTAAAAGGTCGTATCCTCCGATCGTAGCTGATCGTAACCATTCAAATTAACGTGTCAATTTACACCGACTTCTTTCCGTTCCTCTGCGGATCGCCGGACTCCTCAGCTGATCTTTATAGAGAGAACTCGTTATCGTGTGATTGAACGTGAATCCGCAGGTTGTTGTGATTTCCTGCTGTCCGTAATCCACCATGACATTCGCCTCAGCAACAGCAATATGATGTGGAAACCAGCGTAAATGACGCTACAATGACGACCAAGTATTACTGTAACACTTGATGTTAATCCACACAGTTGTCGTCAGTAACAGAGGTCACTGAAGCAGCACTGTTAACCCTTCGCTGACCCTAACAAACCTCAGCCCTGACACTGACAGGGAGCTCTGAATCCTTTTAGCTTCACTGGTTTATAAGTCGCTCAGTTTTCTCTGCAGCGTTCTTCTTCTTCATGGATTTTATTCAAACTCAATATAGGTGGAGAACGGCTTTGTTTACAGTCAGAAAGAGCGGACCGCTCAAAAATGTTCAAATGTTGACGACACAGACATAAGAGAACACAGAGATATCGATATATTACCAAATAATCAATAACTAATAACTATTGACTGATATTCAAAGATTTTTGTATAAAAACCACAAAATAAAAAGATGCTTCTTTAACAGATTCCTCTCTTCTCCACCTTTAATTAAGTGAAATGTTACTCGTTAGTGTTTGGCCACAGTAGAAACTGACCAGCTCCTCCCCTTTAACGAGAAACTGACCGCCTTGTGAGCGAGGCTACAGTTTAATTATGAATTTACTTATTTATATATTTACTTCTAAATACAGATGTTAAAATGATCGATCGATCCCTTCAATCCTGGTCCAGCATCAGTTTATCGATATCACACTCACATCTGCTCTCTCTCTCATTCTGGTTTATATTTTTAGACGCCAGTTGAGGACGATCAACTTCCCCCTACAAACGCTGACTCTGCGTCTCCTGTTCTGGTCTGAGGTTTTCCCTCGGGTGTTAATCTGGATTAAGAAACAAGTCTGAACTGATTTTAAAGTTAGTGAGCGGTCTTTAGGATCACCTCTTTGTTTGACGTCCCTCCCTCGAATCAGCGACTGTATAAACTCGCTCTGGAGATATAAAACGATCCGAGGATCGTTGACGAGTCTCATGGTTCTATCCCAGAGTTCATAGCGGCCCTCATTTAGTGTGTCTCAGTAAGTTTGTTAGCAGAGAAATAAAGGTTGGGACTAATAGCGCTGACAAGGATGGACTTGCTAATTTGCTAATGGCTTCTTCTTCTTCTTCTTCTTCTTCTTCTTCTTCTTCTTCTCTTCTTCTTCTTCTTCTCCTTCCTGTGGGCCGTTAGATCAGCAGCAGCAGCCTCCACTCTGTGAGCCGGCGTTATGTAAACCTCACTGATCACTATCGCTCTGCTAATGGCCTCTGAAAGGGAGAAAACACATTCAATCACATTCACTCCCCACCAAAGATACGGCCGCATGTAACGCTAACCGGAGCGGATCCGCAGTTGGTTCCGCCGTGTCAAGGCGCTTTGATTTAGCGCTCGATACTCGCCGGTTTTATTGTGCTGCTGTGTGTTTTCTTGGATGTGTCGGGCGATCGCCTTTAATCATTAGCACAGGAAGGGCCGGGCGGTATTGATTTGGATGAGCGCTCGACCCCATCACCGCAGCTCATCATTAACAGACACTTTAACAGAGACCGACTCTGCCACGACATCAAGACCGCACAGGGATCTACAGGTGCTGCTTAGGGACAAAGACAGGAGGGTGAGAGGAAGTGTCCTCTGCTCAGATCCATTTAGAGGATTATTACAAGTAAAGGTTAAAATAAATAAGAATAAGTGGAATAAATGTGTAAAAGCTAAAGTCTGTCTGTAAACCGGCTAAAGAATTAGCTTTCAGTCATGGTTGTCCTCAAAATAATACGTCAGATTATTCCAGAGATGTGTGTTACCAGATTAAATAAGACTTCAAACTGGATAGAGGGACTAAAACCGTCCACTGAGGGAGTAAATCAACCAAGAAATGGGACCAGAGAGTCTCCCCCTGCTGGCCATGAGGGATAATGCAGGTTTCAGCTCGTTTCATTACATCTGTGTTGGTAAATAGTTTCATCTGACGGATCAGCTGATTCTGACCCCGTATTGAAGGTAACGCCCACTTTCACACTGATGTTAGAGTGACGTCTTAAAGGTGAAGTAGAGAGGAATCTGTTAAAGAAGCATCTTTTTATTTTGTGGTTTTAAAACAAAAAATCTTCTAATATCAGTCAATAGTTATTAGTTATTGATGACATTTGGTAATATATCGATATCTCTGTGTTCTCTTCTGTCTGTGTCGTCAACATTTGAACATTTTTGAGCGGTCCGCTCTTTCTGACTGTAAACAAAGCCGTTCTCCACCTCCTCTAACCTGATTGGTTGTGAGGCAGACGCTGCTCCCCCGTGTCGTTCAGGAGCCCAAACAAAGTTAGCGTGCTACAATATCGGACAGTAGAAACCAACCAGAAAGTTCGGAAAATTGTCTGAATCCTCCTTTGGCCACGACTGCCGACACAAGCAAGAAAACAAAGTAAATACCGGAGACTCTGGAGGAATAACGGGCGCTTAAAACGGAGGTAGACCGGACAAGAGCTAAAAAGCCGGGTCAACATAAACGATGGGGGACGCTTGGGGATCTTGGTGACCCTGTAACCTTTCTGCTGGACAGGTAAACTGCTTTAACAAAGTAAGACAAGTGTCTGTAACAGAAGTGTTTCTTGTCAAACGGACCTGCTGTAGCGTGTTGTAGCGCCATCGCTAAACTGTCCTCCCTCGGGTCCTGGACTATGTCACTTTATCCTCGTTGTAGAAGTCCTGCAAACATTGTGTTTGCTGGTAGTCTGTTGGCATCTACAGTAGCACCAATGCTTTTGACTTTCACCTTGACTTTGAGTGTCTGTTTGTGGGCGGGGCTTGAGGGGAGAGGAGGAGCTGAGGGGAAAACTGGTTGGGAGGGGTAGAGTTTACATTCAAGATTTCTACTAAAAACTGGAACTAACTCAGATCCTGACTACACCACCTTTAAATATGTGACTATAATCCAGAGTGAAAGACTGAATCTACAAATCTGTCTGTACTGCAATAACCAGCAAAGCTCAAAGACTAATTTACCTTTTCATCAGTGAAGAAAACAGGACTGTGCTTCAGTCAAAACTCAATAGTACCAGAACTAAAGCTCAGAAACCCAAATCTAATTTCTGAACTTCAGTAAGTTTTCTAAAGTTTAAACTCTGAATCTGATCAAACTCTCTCCGAGAGAAAAGGTGAGATTAAACTCAGAGTAGATCTACGACTAACTTCTTAAAACCTCCTAAATTAAATATTAACATGTCGCTGCATCAGTGAGTCTGAAAAAAGCTGCAGAATAAAGATCCTGAAGAAAGTTTCCATGTGTGAAATACTCTTTAAATTGAATATTTATCTGCAAACATGTTTTTCTTGAAGTGTCGTCTCAGCGTCTCCCTGACAGTTTGGCGTCTCTCTCTCTCTCGCTCTTTAACTTCAGTCTTCAGACACTCACTCTCTGATGGCCTCAGCTCAGTTTAGCGGCTCTGAAACTTCTCCACCGTGCCTCCCGTTCTCACTCCTCGCCATATCAGAGCGCTGTAATGCTGTTGCAAAAGCCTAATTAGATCTGAATTAACGCCACTTTCTTGACTCGACGTTATGGATTGAAGATGAGGGACTAATTAGTCTGCTATTAATGCAGAGAGAGGTTAATGGCGGGGGTTTGTCACCCCAACAGAAGCAGGACGTGATCGGGCCGCTCTGCCCCCCGAAAAGCCGTCGCTCCCCGTCTTTCTGCTGAGGTAAGCGCTTCTGTCAGTTTGAGAGCCGGCTGCACTTTCACTGAGCTCATGATCAATGTGCACTTTCTCCGCCGTAAACAAATAATAACTCAGCTTTACAGGCAGTCAACTGCTCAGCAGATTAAAGCGCGACTGCAGAGAGCCTGAGGCGGCGTGGATGTGGCGTTTTCACCTGTAATTAAGAGCGTGACAAATCATCAGGAAGGGTGTGAACACGGGTGGGATCACAATACTCTGTTCTACGCCGTGAGAAATAGAGAAATAGACGGACTTTATCAAAAGATAACAGAGTTCACACACTGAACACCAACATGTGAGAGAAGTTACCGACTCAAAGAAGAACTTTTTACTTTTTTCAAAGTTTACAGAAAAGTTTTCTCCACAACAACGAGACTGTACACACCCCCATACTGTCAAATCACTCCTAAAAACAGCTTCTTAAATGAGCTTTTAACCTCTGAACTCTACCTGTGTCTTCTTTAACCCTCGACCCCGTTTGGTCTTAAAATCCTCTTTATTTGAAATTGTGTTTACTTTTCGATCTTTGATCACCTGTGAAAGTGCGTTAAATAAAATTTATTAATATTATTATTATTTAACGATGGTGCCTGTTCCTGAAGCAACATAAAGGAGTTAAGACCTGAAGTGCAAATAATCATGATTATTGATAACAAAGGATCAAACGAAGGGAAGTTCAGCTCAGTGTGATCCAATAAGACTTCTGCAGCAGCGGTGTCAGGCTGAAGACGGAGAAACAGACTAATGAGGGTTTTTTTCATAAATGGACCCGCCTAATGACGGGAATATAAAAGTGTTTCCAGTTAAAATCTGATAACACAAACGTGTCGTATCAACC